TTACACAATGTTATAATCACTCTGTTCCTTTCGTGCTGCTGGTGTGGTTTCACTTCTTTCTCAAAGAAATCTCTTACTTGTAAATACCTAAATAAATCCTGGTTATTCAAATCGAACTCCTTTACGTTTTTGAAAGCTTTTAATCATGCCCTTTTAAAAAAAATGAATTTAACAATCCTTGCAGCACCAGGGAAAACGTTATGCAATTGCTTTCCAAAAGCTTGCTGCCAGCCACTGACAGAGGAGCAGTTCCCAGCAGCTGCCTCTGAAAGGCTTCATTGCTGATTTGTTTTCCAATGTATCAAAATGTCAACCTTTCATCAAACAGAGTCGGAGGTATTTTGTTCTGAAAGCGTGTTCATGTAGCACAGCTCTAATCTTCTGAATGTGAGTAATCCAGTGTGAGTGACATGCAGTCATCCAGAGGCCAGGATCAAATATCTGCTTATCTCCCATAACAGGCAGTTAATAAGCCGGGAGACAGGTGTCACACACATGAGCTTCCCACCAGCTCCAGAAGAGTCTCACTCACACTCTCACACACACACACACACACACACACCACACACACACACACACACACACACACACACACACACACACACACACACACACACACACACACACACACACACACACACACACACACACACACACACACACACACCAGGAAACCAGAGTGCTGTGTCACACTTTAATTTGCCGGCATGCCGCCTCTCTCCCTCCCTGACGGCTGCTGGCATCACCCCTCTCCTCCCCTTCCTGCAGATGTTGATCCTGACTGATTCTGTCCTCACACAGGACGCCTTATGACAGAGGGGGGGGGGGGGTTTATAACAAACCACCTGAAGAACAAAAGGCCACTGTATTCCTGCCCTCCTCCCTCCGCTCACAGCAAGAGGAGACAGGATAGGATCTGACAGCAGACATGAGTACTCATTTAGACAAAAGGATTCCTTTCACCCGCCCCCCCCCTCCCTGGTGTTACAGCAGGTAATAATAGCTAATCCCAAATTAGGAATGTTTTATGTTGTTCCAGACTCTGTCTTGTTGGGTATTTTTGTTGGGTAATCTATGGTAGGGCTAACCCATACGGTGGTGGGGCTCAAGTCAGTATTTGCAATGTCTCAATCCAAATGGAACTGTATGAAATAAAACGGTACATTTGTCTTGTAGTAAATAAAAAGGGGTCACTGTGAACGTGACGTATGATCAGGGTTGGGTTGTAACGGAATACATGTAACGGTGTTACGTAATCAGAATACAAAATTCAAGTAACTGTATTCAGCCGGCATTACATTTGAAAAACGAGTAATCTGATTACAGTTACTTTCGTAAACCTGAAGTGAATACATTTTGGATTACTTATTGGAATTATTGGTTGAAAGATTTCCTCACAACATTTAATATTCATTATTAAAGGTACAGCCGAATCATCACAGCGCACAAAACCTATTACCGCCGCAGATGGACCAAAAAAGGGAGCGTTTGAAAAAAAAGGGGGCGGGTCCGCTCGGTGAAACAATAACAACGAAACATGGAGGAACAAAAGTCTGCGTTTAAATCGTGGCGATATCGACACCACTTCGAATTTAAACAAGACCATGGGAAGAATATCACGGTCCAATGTACCTTGGGTCTTCGAACCATCAATACACTGTCTGCATCAAAGGACTCCACGTTTAAACTTAAAAAGCACTTGGAGGTAAGTCAACGTTTGCTTTTTTTGGCTCTCTTTATTGTTATCCCGACTTCGATAAAGTTACCTTACTGCTTTATAAAAGGGAAATAAACAACGAACGGACACACACACATCATGCGCCTTGGTGACCGGAGATCTCCTTTATAAAACTAATAAAAGGGGAATAATCGGGCAGTTTGTGTGTAGGTGTGTGTGTGTGTGTGTGTGTGTGTGTGTGTGTGTGTGTGTGTGTGTGTGTGTGTGTGTGTGGTGTGTGTGTGTGTGTGTGTGTGTGTGTGTCTCTGTGTGTGTGTGTGTGTGTGTGTGTGTGTCTCTGTGTGTGTATGTGTGTGTGTGTGTGTGTGTGTGTGTGTGTGTGTGTGTGTGTGTGTGTGTGTGTGTGTGTGTGTGTGTGTGTGTGTGTGTGTGTGTGTGTGTGTGTGTGTGTGTGTGTGTGGGGTTAAAACACATCAGCCTGTGGTCGCTCTTTAGCCTTTCTAATGATTCTGAAGGTAAACACAGTGAAGGCACTGCGCGCTCCTCTTCTCAGAGGCTGAGTTAACCCTCCCGCTGCCTCCTGGTGCTGCAGAGATTTCAAGAAGTGAAGGAGGTTTTCCTTCTATAAAACAGCTGTGGGCAGCAGATACTGTGAGAGTCACGGACATGAATACATAGATCAAGGCAGACTGGTGCACAGTAAAAACACGTTCAGTTTCCTTTTGCTTTTTGTGTCTCCTGTTCACCAAAACATACTCATCTGTGGAGAAAAAGAAAGTCATCCAAAAGTAATCTGAATATGTTACTTTTTTAAGACACGTAACTGTAACTGTATTCGGATTACTTTCAGAGCCATGTATTCAGTAATCAGTAACTGATTACATTTACAAAGTAACCCTCCCAACCCTGCGCATGATAGTACACGTTGAAGATCCAATGGGGATACTGAATGGCGGTTCCGATTGATCTCATCAGTAAGGCATGACGCAGACCCAACGTTTCGTTTCTCTGATTGGCTGTAGGTCTTTTCAAATTGCATTCAGAGGCATTTTGATCTGACCGCGGCCGCGCTGATATTATAACGCCAGAGAATTTCCACACATTTAGTGTATAAAATTCCCCCACTACTTAGACTATTCCTTGCACCCCTCTTCTAGCATAAGCCCGAATGGTCTCAACCATATTGCGTCAGTAACGTGCACTTGTTGTTACAGCAGGATCAGTTTGTGTGTTGTGGACACGACCCGTATATTTTCGCAATCCGTGTTCTCAACATGCTTACTTTAACATAATTGTTCATGGTGGGGCTAAGCCATTTCTTGGTATGGCTGTAGCCTACCCCAGCCATACCCTGGTGCCCAGGGCCGGCCCTGACCAATTTGCCGCCCTAGGCAAGATTTTAGCTGGCGCCCCCCCCCCCCCCAACCGGTAGTGGCATGACCACCAAAACAGAAAGATGCCCCCGGGAAGACTTTTTTTTAAAATATTGAAGTTAAAAGCATCAATCTGGTGCACTTTGAGAGCAACATGAAGAGATCTATGGATACATCTCTCAACACCCATATGAAACAGAACTGTAAACAGATTTTCTTTTTCTTTATGGATATTTTACAAATCACTCCCCTTTCAAACTGTATTCTTGTTTATTAATAACAACTTTTTTGTACTGTCAGTATTTTATACCTGTTTTTCATCTATTCTCTTATTTTTTTATAACTATAATGATCATATAGAGGTGTGCCTTTACCTCACTGAGCTGAGGTTATCAGAGCCTCTCAGTCTTTCAGGAGAGAGCTCTCTAAAGCTCTCACCCCCGCGGCCGCTTACAATGTAAATTCCAATGTTAATAAAAGCACACAGAAGCTGTGTATGTTTTTTGGGAGTTTGATTTATTTTAAATGAATACAAATACAAATACAAAATAAATTAAAACCTATAATTGCACACTAAAACCATTATTTAAAAAAAAGAACAATTTCACATAAACCTTTTTACTGGGACTGGGGCAGTTCAACTTGATTTTGGGGGGGTGTGCCATAGTTTATGGGCGCTGTACGCGTAGTTCTGTTAGTATAAGATAATAAGATGTACTTTGTTGATCCAAAATCGGGAAATTGTGTATTATGAAAAAAAAAAAAAAAATTATTTTTAATTTCTAACTTTTTTTTTTTTCTTTTTTCCGGCGCCCCCTATGGGTTGATGCGCCCTTAGCATTCGCCTATACTGCCTATGCCGAGGCCGGCCCTGCAGTGGTGCCGCCACTGCTATCACATGACAATGATGTTACTCTACGTGAAAAACGGTACAAGAAGAAGGTGGCAGAACATCAATGTCAGAACAAAGAGGGAGTAGAAAATGATTTTTTTTAAACTGCAAAAATCTACAGGAGCCTGAGCAGCACCAGGGCTAAATGTTAGACTAGAGTCACGAGGCTCATAGACAGAGTCATAGACAAACACAACACAATACTAACCACAAAACATTGTTTTAATGCTGCTCCACCTGAAAGAACGCAGAAGCCTAAAGCCTATCATTTGTGTTGAAGCAGAAACACAGAAGTCAAAGGCTCTGAATCTAAAGATCATGGCAGAAAGAATTGTGAAAAATCACACACACACCCGGGTCTCTGCGAGGGTTTTAAATGAGCACTACAAAGACTTCCAACAGTAAGGTAACCTGAGCAGCCGGGTGAAGGAGAGCTAATCACAGAAGCATGCCCTGTTGGTGTGTGTGCTGTGAGGAGAAGCTGAGCTCTGTGTGTCCTGTCACTGTGGATTCACCAAAGAAACCAGAGGAGAAGTCATCTGATTACTGGTCGACTGTATGCAGGTAACTACAGTGCTAAACTGACTTGCATCACCTGTTACCTCACACAGATGTACTGACTGTAAGACGCCTTACTGTAAGGAGTCAGGAAGGGACACCTTTGTGAGGTATCAGATGGATAAACAATGCTCATTATAATAAACAAATCAACGTCAACTGTACGGCATAGGTTAGGATTTCTTTAGATAATGTTCAAAATAGTTTGAATGTTATTTTTCTAAAACTTGAATAAGTGAGATTTTTGGTCTTTATAGTAAATGGACTGTGTTTATAAAACACAAAGTCAACTACTGTGGGCCATCAGGAGCAACAGTGGGTTTAGTATCTTAACCTCCATCAAACAAGTTGACTGGGGGGGCTGGCAATTACGCCAACAACCTTTTGATTAATGAACGCACGACCTCACAGCAGCAGTCTCCCAGCAGTTATAATGGAAGTGACAGCCCATGTAATAAATTACTCATCCCTTCATGTGGGGGGGGTGCTGGGTTCATACCTGGTGACGAGCACTGCCGTGTCCACTGGGGGGGTGTCGTCCCTTCCTCCAGGAACGTGGTTGGTGCCGAGGTACCGCGGCCCCCCAAACTCCTGATACTGCCAGTGACAGAAGCTCTCCAGAGCCCGCTCCCCATGGTGGCCCACCTTCAGCTTCCCCTGAAGAGGCATGTGAACACAATACATACATTCAAAAGGTAGAAAAGATAATTAGCAGCATAAAACAGTAAAGGACTGTATGAAACAAATGGAGTAGCAGATAGATTGGGAAATATTCAAAGTATATGTTGCACTGTGTTTTTTAGATCAGTGTTGTTAGTGAGCAGTAACCCTCTCCCCGTACTGCTGTAACCCACCTGTTCATCAGCCTTACTCTAACAGTCAGTTTGAATTAAGACATTTTAAAATGGCTTATTATGTAATTAGAAAAAATAATAACTTTGTTATAATTTGTTATTTAGTTTTGAAAAAAAAGTGCAATTCCATCGAATCTCCTTTCAACTGTATTAACGTATTCTATATTTTTGAAATATTTGGTAATGGAACATATCAATACTTCACACACACCTGCTTTCTGTGTGAACTGCATATCTGAGGTATGAGGTGCACACGTTCTCACTGCCCATTCTTCTTTAATAAACATCTTGTGTGTGGGAAGTAGATCTTTGTGAACATCTGAGCATTATATTAGATACAAACCCCGAAATAAATGAGAAACAAATTATGTAAAGTCTTAAATGCAGATTATTCTTAATTTGGACATGAATCCTGTCCCTGGCATTTCAAAGGAGGAAAAGTAAACCTCTTTCCTGAGAGTCATGACCTCTCACACACTCACACAGGGTCAGAGAGGGTCACTCACCGGGCGGCTGTGGAGCAGCACCAGCTTGGTGACTCTGATGTTGATCCTGATGCCCAGACTCCGGTGGTGGAACATGTTGTAGACCTGAGAGAGCAGCAGGGGGGGGGGCAGTGAGGGACAGACCCAAGAGCAGGAGTTTATAACAAGTGGATGTTTATTGTCCAGTTTAATGATGCTATTGATTAAAGAGGCCCTATATCGTTTCTCTCACGCACACTACCCCCCTAGATATAGTTATGAACCTGAACATGAGCATGATTATATATCATTTGTAACACTTTGTCTTAGGCTTGTGTCTCAACTTCATTTGTGTGTAATTTAGTGTATAACATCTCTAATGCCTCCCTCTGCTCTGTCCTCAGTCTCAGACAGGAACAGCTGGGCGTAGAGGCAGAGCAGCCACGTGCACACACTTCCTCTCACACACAGTGCTGCAGGGTCACAGTACTATCACATCCAAGACAGCTCAAATCTTAAAGACATTCTTATGAAAGTGTGTTGTCGACCTACATCGTTATGAAAGTATAGGTAATAATGTACTGCATATAACTCTTATTTTCAAGTTTCTTGTTTTATTGAGGTTTTCTTTTAACAAATGTTAACATGCTTACATAATGTTCACATATTGCCCATGGCTGAAACACCTGTAATAACCCCCGTCAGGCTTGTTTTGTATAACCTGCACACTTGACATAAAGAAGTAGAAGGAAATGCACCAATCGTTAGAATGTCTTAATATAATCAAGACAACGTTTCTAAAGTGACCCTTCCTTAATATTGAGAAGCTCACGCCCTAAACAGCCTGCAGCTCTCTGGATGTTATTTTCCACAGTTTCCACCAAGCATACATGAGTCTCAGATTGTTTTTGTCTTTTCACCATGAGCACCAACTGGAGGAGCCCACTTTCAGAGATTGTATGAATGAGCTTCAATTCTGAATCTGACATCGTATAGCAGAAGGCAGAGGACGATATAGCGGAATTATTTACAGTGTCCTCCTGCCACAAATAGTCCTATTGGTCTTATGATCATTTGTTAACGGTGACATCTCCAGCACACTAATGCAGTGTCAAGATATTTTCAACTTCTCAAGGTGCAACGCTGTTTCTTGAAGCGGCCGCATGATACAGCAAACACTCTCCTTGATGGGAACAATTGAATAAGTGACTAGAAAAATATGCTATTTGGAAGCACACCCCAAGGGGGGGTTCTTTTTCAAAGGTCTGAGGGGAGACTCAGGCCCCTGTTTTAAACAGAACAGATTCGATACAGAAAACATACCATTTGACCCTATGAACCCTCAGAGGGTCCTGCTGTTATTGTTTCTGATGTGCTCACCATGTTCATGACGGTCAGCAGGAACCTCTGCGCCGCCTCGGCCCCGTGGTACTGCACCATGTCGGAGTCGGCCACCACCACCGTCTCCACTGTGTAGGCTTCATGCAGGCGGATGGCGTTCCTCCTCCCCCGACCCTCCTCCCCCACTTTGGACATCTTTTCCTTCTTCTTCCCTACCATACACAGGAAGAGAGACAAAGAGAAAGACCCAGCGTTAAACAGTAACACAGAGACCTTTTTGTTACTGCAGTGTGTATGTGTGTGGGACTAGATATATCAAGTTACCTAAAGCTGAGCCGAACTACAGTGCAACGTCAATCAGGAGGATTTGTTTTGTAGCTTTCTGGTCCCATGACCAAAATAAGTAATTCCATATTTGAAAAAGGTATTAAAAATGCCTCTGATTGAGTAAATAATCCTAGCACCCTTTCCACAGCTGCAGCATCTCCATTTGCAGAGTGACTGAATGTGAAGCTGCACAGACTTAGGATTTAGGTGTCATAGTATAGGGAGGCAAGTGTGTTTTTATAGGGTTCATACAGGAAGGATGGTCAGCTAATACTGACAACATAGTCAGTATCTGGTGTGAGGGGTAGGGTTAGGGGTAGGGGTAAGGTTAGGGGTAGGGTTAGGGTTAGGGTTAGGGTAATGTTGTGAATCAAGTGGCCCATGGTGGTGGTGGGGTTATGGTATGGGCAGGCGTATGTAATGGACGACGAACACAGGCCACTCGATTCACAACATTACCCTAACCCTAACCCTACCCCTACCCCTCACACCAGATACTGACTGGTTTTCGGACCCCCCCCAGACCCCCCCAATAAAGCAAAACTGCACGTTTCAGAGTGGCCTTTTATTGTGGCCAGCCTAAGGCACACCTGTGCAATAATCATGCTGTCTAATCAGCATCTTGATATGCCACACCTGTGAGGTGGGATGGATTATCTCGGCAAAGGAGAAGTGCTCACTATCACAGATTTTTTCAGATTTTTGAACAATATTTGAGATAAATGGTTATTTTGTGTATATAGAAAATGTTTTAGATCTTTGAGTTCATCTCGTGAAAAATGGGAGCAAAAACAAAAGTGTTGCGTTTATATTTTTGTTCAGTGTATGTAGCTGTGCACACATAGTGACAGTGTCAGAGATATTATGATGAACTCTGTCAGAACATGTGCTTACACTGAAAGTGTATGTTTATCTCTGGGTTTGGCTCACGTCTAGTTCAACAACTAACCTCCTCCTGATCGTTCCCATAGCTACCACTCTGTAAGGACAGGAATCCAGAATTTCTAAATGCTTTATTTTGGAAAAGGCTCTGAGTCTTCAAATGGTTTGCATTTCAACAAAACATTTGATATTGTTTAAGAATCAAAACATCCACGACACCAAGAATCAGAGGACTGCATCAGGAGACGTTTATCTGGAGCTGTCATCAGAAACAGGTGGTGAAATACACTGATATACAAAAACCCTCTGTACTGTGTGGCGCAGTCAAACTGAGTAACAACTACATGAACAGTCAAGTGCTGAAAATCGCCAATAAACTGAACCCCCACAACAACAGCAACCCCCGCCCATAGGAAAGGAAGAGAAGGTCAGAGTGTGTTTCAAACAAGGACTGTCAGATTCTGTGACAGCATTCCAAACTTCCTGTCTAGCATTTGCATTGGTGGGAAACTGTGCCACCCCAACATTCAATCCCTTCATTCAGCGGTTAGTGAGGGCTGAAATGTAGGTGGGAATAGAACTCTCTCCTAAGCTATCTTTTTTCATCCTTAAAATCTACCTTGGATAATTCTGCAAAATACATCTGATGCTAGCATTTCTTTATACAGTACATTTTGTGTGCATGGAAAGATAAGGGAAAGATTATGGCAAAGAAAAACAGGTTGATATATGGTTAGTTTTAGGCGACTCACTTTACTTGTATACCCCATCTCGTTATTCTGCATTTGGGTCCTGATTACCTCCTGCCCCTGACAATAATGAGCTGACAAAATACTTGGCTCACACCAAACTTAGATCCTCCAGTACATCAATCCAATTCTTCATCTTCCTCACCATCATCATTATTACTGTTGACATTAAGTCAGCTTTAGGAGGTTTGAACATTCCTCCATGTATTGAGCTAGCTGGGAGCTCCAGCGTCAATCTGGGACTGCTTACTGCAGCCACTCAGCGAACACGTCTGCAGGGGCCAAGCTCTTCTTTGAATGAGCTCTGTACTGTTCAGCCCATCTGGTGTCTGTTTCGCTTGTTTCCTGGAGTGTACAAATGTGACTGATGGCAATGCAGCACCAGAGTGAAGGCTGCCTGCAACACTGCAATATGAATTCACCCAGGACAGACTCTGGACCAAGAGGACTCAATTCATCGGAAGCCAAACAGCCATCTAATAAATTCCTTTTTGTTGTTTGAGTCTCTATATTTGAGTAAAAATGTTCCGTTACTTGCCTCGTTTGCAAAGTTTTGTAGAATAATCATTGTAACTGGAAGGAGCCAGTGTATGACTAGACTGGAAACACAAACAGAACAATGACTGGGGGACCTGAACTGGTTCTACTGTAGGACAGCTGTTTGGGGTACAGCCAGAATGTTTACATGTGACTTAGGCTAGCTATGAATGCCTCCCTTATCATAGGGTTATATTGTTTTTTCATATCAAACTTTAAAAGTCTGTACAGTAATTACGTGAACAAATCATGCAACCTAATTTGATGTTGCCCTCCAAAAAAAAAACATGTGGGCTTTCTTGATTTTCAGGGTTGGTGGTAAAGGTTTGATTAAGTTTAGGCTACTAAAACTCTGCCATGGTTAAGGATAGGAATAATTGAGGGCTTCGGGCGATTTTGTGGATTTCTTCAAGTCTCAACTCAACTCAAGTGTAAGCTCAGAGAAAAGACCACTAAGAGCAAGTGGTCCCATGAAGTTGCTACATATCCCACCCAGGCAGAGCACTGAGACACTCAGCATGACTCAGTGAGCTGCTCAATGCTTTAAGGGAGAAAACCTTGTAAAAGGAAAGAAAATAGGATGTGTTTGAGTCACAAATAAAGAAATAACACAGTGCTTTGAAACCAGCAGCAGCCCCACAGAAAACAATAGTCTGCCTACACAGCACTTTGTGGGACAACATATCTTTCTGTTTTGGTGGTCATGCCACACCTTGCACGTGCATGCATGCGCGAGTCATGGTAAGATATCTGGATTAAGAGGTTGCTTTTTCTTTGCACAGAATGAAAGAAAGGCCAATGGGGGGGTCTTTCCTAATATGAAACCAACTCAGAGCTTAGTGCATGGTTAACAAATAATACATTATTTTCTTGCTGCGTGTCAACCTATGGTGTCAACCAAGGAATTCACGTTATGCTGTGGCATACAGTATGAGTCGCTGTTTGGCCATAAGGCTCAGAGGTTACTTAATCCCCTATAGCAAAAGCAAATCTTTCAACCATTGCTACTACAGATAAATTGCTATCAGAAAAGTAATGTCAAAATGTGTGTTAGGTGCAGCACCTTGTACTGTATCAATAGATACAGCTCAAATGCAAGCAGTGCTTCCTAAATAAGGGTTCTGTAGGGGAGGAACTTGCGACTGACCAGATGCAGATTTACAGTAACCTGAGGGCAGGGTTCACCTCAGGGAGTTTGGCTGTCCTAAAATAGACATGAGCTGCAATAATTGTAAGGGGAACTCTATATAATCACAATTGTTGTTGCATTTTTATTTTGAGCAGATCTTATGGATAATAAGCACATTAATACAGGTGTAGAAAAATAACGTCAGATGATCCAAAAAAAAGATATTTTCTGGGCGACAAGATTAACTTGATTCAAACAGCCTGAGTGAAAAACTAGCACTGATGTTTTTTCAAGATAAATCCATGAGGGAGACCCTTGTGACTCATCCCACTGGGTGTAAGAGTATCTCCTCAGGACCAGAGGGAGGTATGGGGCTCTGGACTTGGTCTCCAGCCATGAAAGAAGCAGATGCCTGGGCTCCACTGTTGCTTTAACTTCCTTTTATTTTCCCTGCTGACTGGGTGACAGTCTCAGATTCCACTCATAAAGCAAGAATGTCATTACTGTAGATAGACTGCAGTACGACTTAAAAAGTAACCTGGCTCAGTGGTCAGGAGTAGCAAGTAAAGGAATAAAATAATAGTTTTTTCATAATTGATACATATTATCATGGGTGACTCACCAGTGTCAGGTTAAAAGAAAAGCAATCTTTATTTTTAAATACAGGGAATATCTGTAACATAACTTTTAGTTGTAACAGAGCTAAGGTTATCGTAATAACTTGGGAGAATGGTGATATTAGGGATGGTTTTCAAAGGGAATTTATCAATACCAATACTGTTTACGATACTTCTTATGGATACCCGTCGATGCCTATTGCTACTCTAATACATAATATGAACATATGTAAAAAGATTCACACAGTTAATGTATTCCTTATTTTGCAGGAATAACTGTATTAATATAGTGTTTGAACTTTCCAGAAGGGAAAAGTCAAAGAAAGATTTAGGATCTCCCCTGTATTATTGTGCATAGTATGTTGACTTTGTTGTTGCATGTTGACTTTCCCTGGAACAAGTCAAGATCTTCCTTACTGATAGTACCTCTAACACAGGCATGGGCAAACTAAGGCCCGCGGGCCATATACTGCCCGTTGGTCATTTTAATCCGGCCTGCCGAATATTGGTACAAAATTGGCCAAATTATAGTAAAGGCCGCATTCATTTTGCCTTTTTCCTGCAATAACCGGCATTTCAGTTGATCCCACTAGATGGCGCACTCTAGACACAACCGGCAAGATCTAAGAACCAAATACGTCACGCTTACATTGGAGGGGGTCGAGATTAACCTGAGCAATAACAGTTCATGGCGAGTACAGCGAATACAAGTTGTAACAAGCAGTAGCGCTGAGCAAAGTGACTAGAACGCGAGCACACACTTATATAAAGTCAGGCAACACTAACCAGGCTTAGTGTGATCCTGTTTATTTGACCTTACTTTAATAACCATCCGTTCACTGTTATTGACCTTTATGAAGAGGCAGACGTTTTCCTTGTTTTGTATTATTGCAGCTATCGGATGGAATCAATACATGGGCTACATGTGGCCATCATAAGTAAAATCATAACGAAAACTACGCCGGTAAAAT